TATAAGAACCCACCACTCGTCTGAGGGATCCTTATATATATATATATATATATATATATATATATATATATATATATATATATATATATATATTATATTGGATTGACGGTCGATTGTACTCCTTTTTCGATATATATATATATATATATATATATATATATATATATATATATATATATATATATATATATATATATATATATATATATATATATGGATATATTGGGTTTAGTAGTCAATATATTGGCCTTTAAGTAAAACTCTTTTAGGTTTGCTAAGCTTTCGAGTTTATTTTACTCTTTTTCAAAACATACTAAAAATTAACATAAAAAATTTACATTAGAAAAATGAAGTTCTTATGTCTTAAATAGGCTTACCCTTGTGAGAATTGTCTTTTAAAATTAGCAAAATTTTTACATTTTGTCATTATGTCATTAACATAATGACATTAAATTTGATTTACTTTTTATTTCTGTCAAAACTTATTACTAAGGTTTCCATATCTCTTCTATTTTTTTATATTTATTTTAGGTGAGTTTGACAGAAGAAGTGTCTATGTTTATGCAAACCTTCATTGCAAATTTTGATATAATATTAGTTATTAAACAAGCAACAGAGTTTATGTTACTAAGTATTTAAGAAAGAAAAAATACAAATAAAAATAAATTTTATCTCATTTGAACTTGGAATAATCCCTTTCATATGAGTAACTTTTAAAATAAAAGTTACTCATATGAAAGTTCTTAAAATGAAAATAAAATAAAAGTCATTATGTTAATGACATAATGACAAAATGTAAAAATTTTGCTAATTTTAAAAGACAATTCTCACAAGGGTAAGCCTATTTAAGACATAAGAACTTCATTTTTCTAATGTAAATTTTTTATGTTAATTTTTAGTATGTTTTGAAAAAGAGTAAAATAAACTCGAAAGCTTAGCAAACCTAAAAGAGTTTTACTTAAAGGCCAATATATTGACTACTAAACCCAATATATCCATATATATTACTCACATAGTCACTAAAGCCCTTTCTAAGAATATATATATATATATATATTTATATATATATATATATATATATATATATATATATATATATATATATTAATGTGATATTCAAAGTCTGAGGTGCGCCAAGCAATTAATTAGCTAAATTAATTAATCAATTAAACTTATTTATAGATGCAGTTAAGATTCTATCACACTATTTAATTCTCTTATCTCAGAGTTATACTCGTGCTTCAATATCTATGCCTTACATATGATAGGTAAGGTCCAAAGAATACCGGAATAATAAAAAACATATATATGATACAACATTATATATCTATTGAAATAAAAATATATTGAAATAAAATTCACAATCAAATATCTTCAATAAAAAATATCTCATATAATGATTATCCAAATTTTGTTCTACGTACATGAACCTTCAAAAGTTATGGTACATATAATATAAATTTAAAATATCAAATCAAAATCGTTGTTCTAAATCTCCTGATCAAAATATTACTATATTTTCTAAAGCAATTGTAAAAAAATGTTGTTATAAAAAAAAACTGACGAATAGTAAAACTATTTTTCTGATGATGAGTTGTCCAAATCCTTGTTCCTTGTAGCCTACAATATCTACTCTTAGCAGTCTCCTATTTAATCAATAATCTTACAACAAATTGTTGCGAGCCTATCGTCTTTAATGATCTCCTTCAAATGCACGTATCGTTCAAATGATGCTAGCCTCTTCTCCTCTCGATAAACTGAATCTCTCGTTCTGGCCTGAACAATGACTCTTGGAATATAAGTAGAAAAATATAACTGACAATATTTTACTGGATCAGCTTCTGTCAGATACACTTACTCCACGAAAACTCACAAACATTATATTCAAGTTAGTAAAGTTAGAAGAAGGCATTAAGTTACAGGAAGTCATTAAGTTACAGTCAATTATTAAGTGAGTTATTTAGAAGAATTCAAGAATTAAGTTAGTCAGAAAGTAAGTTACAGCCATTAAGTCAGTTACAATTGATTAAGTGAGAAGAATTCATGAAGTGATTAAGTTAAATTAAGTTAGAAAGAAGGATTAAGTGAGATGAAGTCAGTCAGTCAGTTACAATTAAGTTATTAAATTAGATTTATCAAGAAAGTTAGTTCAAGACAGTTATAATTAAGTTAAATTAGAAGAAAGGATTAACTTAGAAGTATTCATTAAGTCACATACAGTTGTAGAGTAAGAGAGTAAATTAATTTAATATAAATAGTTCAATACAGGAGTATAGTATATTATATGGAAATTACAAGAATTTTAAATTATAATATCTATATGCAATTTCACAAATACAAGGATAACCGAGGCTGATTAAGAAGATATTTAGTGGTGATTATAACTTTGATTTTGGAAAACTGTAGGCATTCAGTGATAGAAAGGTACCAAAGTTTTTTAATATAATTTAATAATTGTAAGAATTTCAAATTTTAGATAGGTTGTCTTAAATTTATATTGTTTATATTAGATATATGCCTGTTTCATAATCGTTATAATAAAGATAATTTAAAAAAGTACTTACAAACTAATTCTTTGAGAACCGCGATAAAAACCATATACCTACTCATATATTTTATTTGCAACACTCAACAATATATATATATATATATATTATATATATATATATATATATACATATATATATATATATTATATATATAATATATATATATATATATATTATATATATATATATATAATGTTTGGAAAGATTTCCGCGGTTAGTACAATAAAAACTAGAGCTAAGATTAATATTATTACTAAAATTAATATCACACTCACCAGTCTTCCGAGTTGAACCGCGTCGATGTCCATTTTGCCAAGCTTTCGGCATCCTCTCTGATGCCTTCCTCAGGGCTTCCGAGGTCTCAGTCTCCCGAGCCCCCAGACACTACTACACTGTTCACTATTCACTAGTTAGAATTAAGATTTTGGCCATTTACAAAAAGTAACTAGTAACATTTATGTATCTCTAGGGTTATATTAAGTTTTTTTTAGTTAAATAATATGCATAGTATACTTTAAATAATCCATAAATATTTTTAATAAAATACGGCTGATCTCTACGTCGTTTAATATTTTTATTGGGAATAAGCCACAATTTAAATTCAAAATAAGTGTATTTTTGACATTTTAATTTTCACTTCGGAAATCGTTCTGAGATATTAAACAATAATAAATTAAACAAATTTTGTTTTTGTTACGTTGTAAAAAAATTCTTCTAACTGACTAATTCATATTGACAATTCAGACATTAAAAACTTCAGAACAAAATCATATCTCTTTTTTGTGTACATACATTGTTATCAAAAATTAAATGGTTTTGTAATAAACACATATTGATTGTATACCATTTTATTTTAAACCGTCCTAATCATTAACTTCGTTTGAGTTACTGTTTGCCAATTACAATTTACTTTATTTACATACAAAAATTTTATTCTGGAAGTTTAACTAGTTTAAAAAGTTTAGACACTATTTTTAGCTTGCAATTTTAGTTTGCAATTAATATTACAAAAAACGATACAGAAAACATGCTGTTTTTCTTATTTCTATAAACTAAAAATTAAACGGAATATGATTGTTTAAAGGTTGTATTCGCATGCGCTTACCACCATCTTTAAGCCCTTTCAGCGGAACCATTTTATAAACGAAGAACTTGAAAAAAAATAATATACACCACTCTGTAGTTTATTCTTAAAGCTAATAACCTTCCTTTCTTCCATGTGTTTTACATAGACCTATAAATAATACAAATAGACTGAGCGTTGCAATGCAGCGTTTTTCCCCAGTGCAACAGAGAAAACTAACGCAAAGCAGTCCCTGCATCTCTTACAAATGGGCCGGATACAACCTTTAATACTACGATTACTTTTACTATTTGGTCGGAAAGGATCTATAGGAGCAACGCGACCAATTCTGGCAGTATTGTCAGAACAGAATTGTGGTGATTTTGTAACACAGTCACGGAGGAAGCTACACCTCTCTGAGTAAAGTATCACGCAGAAGAAATATTAATAATTGTGGCAATAATGTCATTCTAGAGCTACATGTAACACAGCCAGGATTCCGTTCTAAGGAAAGGAAAGCTTTAAAAAACAAAAAAGGATGTTAAATTATGCGAGACTAGTATTACGTAGATAGGGAAAAAAACTAGTGACAAAACTCGCGACTCGGTAGAAAAAAAAATAGGTTAAGGTGTAAAGCAATTCTAAACTTCTATTTGATAAAGTAAATTAACTTCTACAGGTAAAGGAAAGGATCTACAGAAGCCATGCGACCAATTGTGGCAGTAATGTCAGAATTCCCAGAATTATAGGTGGGTGACTCTGCAACACAGTCACGGAGGAAGCTACAACTACCTAAGAAGGCATTACTTAGGAGCAATGTTACCAATTGCGGTAAAGTATAAACGTAATATATAAACGGGTAGTTTAAACGATAAATTGAAATAATCTTTAATTCAAGAGTTCCTACAATCTCGACTGATGCTAAGATTTTAAAATGCTTAGCATAAGATTCTAAGCTAACTTAGCAATGAACAAAAAGAGAACAACAAGTTGTATTTGAATAAATATATTACGTTACGTATGAATAAATTATTTTATCTAAACCAACTTAACAATAAACAAGAAAGAACAACAAGTGGTGTTTATTAATTACGTATAAATGAAAAGACTTTTTATTTCAATCAAATTACGAGACTAAATATTAGAATACATTAGCAATACAGCTGCACCCGTTTTATTAACTGAAAAAAATTTAATTCTGGAATGTAATTCTAAATAATAGAATGTACTATAAGTTTATTATTAAACAAGTGTACCAGTGACGAGAATATTGTTAGTAAAATTGGAATATAATTCACGCTGTTTATACAATAATGTTTGCAATTAATATTACTCTGTAGTTTTTTCGTAATTAATACTTGTTTTTAACATATGCTTTTATTTTGCAGAGATTCGTTAAAACTCTGGATAAGTAAGTACGTTTGGTTTTTATCTTATTAAATATATAAAATTGCCCAGTAATAAAGAATATCCATTTGCTTCCATTGTTGTAATTTTCGCTTTACCAAATATGTACACTGTGCCATTACTCGTCTTCTAACTTCATCTTACGTCCGGCACTTTGGCACCTTACTGCATGCATGGAAGTTTGTAGGTCCCCCAAAAAGTGGACTAGTGTCTAGAGCCTGACCCACTATTCTGCGTAGACTTGCGCAGTTCATTTGTATCTATTTCTGAATGTGTCAATGAGGTTTATGTATATTGTTGGTTGCGAACATTTTTTTTTATAAATTATTAATATATTTACTTCAACTCATCTATTTAAACCGTTTGATAAATTTAATAATGTTTAAATTATAAGAATAACTCTAAATTTAATAGTAAATAATAGCAAATCAACATTAAAGGTTTTTTAAAATAATTTCAAAAAGTATTTAAAAAAATACTTTTTATGATACCAACTTTCTTATTTTAAATGAAACATTAGTTATATTATAAAATTTTTGGATTCTGCACAAAATTCCCAGAACTTTGATATATTGCATGTTATAGTTTTAATTAACTTATTTTAGGATACAGGGGAGTCATAAGGAGATACACTCTGTGTATCTCCTTATGACTTTAAAAGGTTCTATACCTAATTTCAATAAAGAAGAGTGAGTTAATTTTTGTATGTTTGTCATTTAGCGACTTCTCCTTTTAATATTGATAGCCACATCCTATTACATTCTAAGGAGGAATTTGCGACACAGTTGCTTTAATTTAACATAAGAGAAGCTTCTTTGACTTTTCTCTTTTACTATCTGTTTCATTACATGAATCATCCCATTGTATTCTATATTCATTATCCCATGCATGTTTACATATCTGTCAAATTCTGTATTTTTGATGTAAGATTGATGTTCATCTATTCTAACGTTTACTGGTCTTGAAGTTTCCCCGAAATAAAATTCTGATTAATTTTAAGTACCAAACTGCCTACATATTAACAGTTTTCCATAATTTAGGTATTTAACAAAATTAGGTATTATAATCCACTAAACATCTTTATTTCATAACTATCTTTACTATTTTCCATACGTCAAAGACTTGAAAACACAGATTAACAATGTTAAGATTCAAATTACGTCACGAGAGTACAGTTTCGTGCTTAATGTTCATTGGTTAGTCGGAAGAGGCAACCGTAGTAGGTCTACGAACCGTGGGTCAGGCTCTATACACTAGTAAAAAGTGGTACCAACTTTTAAAAACAATTTTTTTATAAATAAATTTTTAAATTTGAATATTTTACCTTATAACTAGAGCCATCGTAAAGTACGGTTAACGAGACGAGCCATAAATTTTTAAAAAACGAAATTAGAAAAGCCCAATATTGGGTTATTTCCAACGAAATAAATAGTAGATAAAGGAATATTTATTTTAAGAGAAAAATTCTAAGAGTATTACTCGAAGATATTAAATGTAACCAAATAAGTACTTCTTAACATATTGCATTTAAATAAGTACCGGTTTTGTATCATTAATATTAAAATTATTTATTACAATCATTATTTTGTGCATAGATTCATAAAAATGTTGCATAAATCCTTCAGCTACACCTTTTCATATACATACATAATAAATTATTTAAAAAATATTCCATGGATCAAGTTTTACTCTATTTAATAAATGGCATTGCTAATGGGTTAATTATTTTATATTTTAAATATTATGGATACTGCTTACTTAGGTCGTAAAAACAAGAAAAATTGCATCATAGAGATAGATATATCTGTGTGTATGCAAATAATAGTATAAGACATGTTTAATATAATGATAGTCATATTTATTCGGATAAATAGTGTGGATGCTTTTTGTATTGGGACATTGATGAGTTATTATTTTAAAACTTTCGCAGGATTGTGAAGTGGGTGTAAAAATTTTGAGGTAAGACTTAATTGTTAATCCATATGATTACATCAACAGTAGTACTTAGTCTTTTGTATTTACCAGTATTTCTATTTTTTATCATGGATTTGTTTCTATTTCCCGTGGTATAAGCTTAAATTTATTTCATTGTCATCTTAATATTTTAAAATCTTAAAACTTTCATATTATGTCCTGCGTATATTGATATGTTTGCTTTAAGCGTTGATATTTTTTCTCGATTCATTTCAATATTATAGTATTGGAGTTATTTTCTTGTAGCTATTTACATTATATTTACTTATTATATTTTCTACGAATTAACCTTGAATGTAACCAGAAATATTTTTTGATCTCTCGGCTTCCAACCCGGTACTACAGCTGTACCTGAGAGCCAGACTAACCAAAGTCCTTTGTAGCAATTTTTCAGGAGAACGCGAAATCACAAATATCATGCTTATATTCTAAGTAAATTTATTTATTTTCATCCAATACATTTGCAGCTTTTTAAGGGTATATATATATATATATATATATATATATATATATATATATATATATTATACAATTATATTTTATCCTTCAATTATATAGTTTAACAATTAATGGAGTTGGATCACTTTAGCTCTAACATCTAATGATGGTATGAATAGTACATTGGTATAATAAAATTACCGTACAATAAGAAAGGTAATATTTCCGTCGTAAATTAAAAACTTTTATTTAAAATAAATTAGAAAATACTAAATTTTACTCATCTGATTCTACAACTTTACTTTCCCCTTGTGGAAGATTTCTATAATATTCCTTGTATTCTTCAGGAATTTAGTCTACCATATTTATTAAATCATTGTACTTGCTAATATTTAATTTCTTGTTCTCACTTCTAAGGAATGGTATTTCCGGAAAGAACGAATTTGTCATACGAGTTACAATACAAAAGAAATTTTTAAAATATAATTTCCCAAAGTCGTGCTTTCGAATTTGCAACCAAACAACATTCGAAATTTAAGAATGTTTTTTTAGGCCTGCAAGCTTTTATAAATTAGCCCAGTCATTACAAGTAAATATTTCCATAGATGATAAATATTTTTTCGCTCTCTATATGATGCTGTATTTGCCATCAACCTCCATGTTTGTGGCCACAAAGTAGAAATCTTTAATTTATTTTTTCCTTTCCTAGAATGTAAAAAACCAGCCAGAAATACAACATTACCATCATCATATTCCTATTCTGGGCTGTACAATTATCTGACTATATTTTTATATCCTTAAGTTACAAAAATTAGTACCCATTTCAACATGCATGAGGTCATTTCATTACCTCCACACCCTCCTCTTACCTCATCCCACAAAATACATCAGGCAGCGTGGCTGGGCTCATGAATCGATCGAGAAGCCTTCGCAATGGTGATCGCCAACGTCGGATAATTGTGTGATATAGCACGCGAAGATAAAGAATTAACGCAAATAAAAGCTAAATGAACTTGTTGAAAAAGGCGTTGGCAAACATTTTTGAAGATCTACCATATATATATATATATATATATATATATATATATATATATATATATATATATATATATATATATATATATATATATATATATATATAAGAAAAACAGAATACTTCGGCCATGTAATTAGAGGACCCAAATACCATTTACTTCGCCTTATAATACAAGGAAAAGTGGAAGGAAAGAGATGGATTGGTCGAAAGAAACTTTCATGGCTGCGTAATATTAGACAATGGTGTGGTTTCACAGTAGAAGAATTATTTCGCGCAGCAGCAGACAGAGAAAGGTTTCAGGAAATTGTAAACATGATGCGGCCAACGTCTGAATACGGACACGGCACCCAAAGAAGAAGAAGATATATATATATATATATATATATATATATATATACTTTATATAATTGGTGGTTTGATACTGTTTCTCTATCCCTTCTTTTTAAACTGTAACGAAGCGATGCTTCTGTTAGATGATTTTCTTGGCCAGTTTAAACTTTTTCTTTTTAGAGGTTGCTCAATATATTTTCTCTAAGCTTAGCAGTAAATGAATCGAAAGTATCGCAGGTATCGTTACTGGGTGTATGGAAAGAGTAATTAAATTCTTCATAAAAATATGTTGCTTCTGAGTTTCATCCAATTTGGTGGAGCATTTGCAAAGTGAACATTTGCAATTCGGGGATTCCCCTTGTTACATAATGTCGTTATTGGCTATATCATTCTGAGTTTCGCGTTGAAAGGTTGTTAATTTTTTTATAAGGTGTTGTACAGTCTACAAATTTAATATTTTACTTATCGGTTCCAATCTAAAATATTCTAATTAGGAGTTGCTTAGGAAACTTTTTAGACTACTATAAATATCGACGCTATTTTGATTTTTATTTTGTACGTAAAAAATTATCTACCAATTTTATATCTTATTACCTAAAAATTTAAAATAATAATTATTCAAACATTTTATAGTTTGATAATTCTTTAGTAATTATCAAAATCGTATTTTAATTATATTTTAAATAGCTCTTTAAAAATATATTACATATTTGGCTTTTATTGGTTGAATTTTAAAATTTAAAAGACAAATAAAATACTTAAAATGGAATAATTCCCGGTAGTTTTTTTTATTAACAAAATCGCATCAACCGAATGGGCTATTAGCAAAACAATAGTAGGGAACAATAATTTGTATTACATTTATATGTTAGTTTAGTTAGAGTTTAAAACGTTAATTGAAGTTAAGAAACTTTTAATGTTTGATATATTACATTGTACACTTAAAAGATCACTAAGTTTGTTTGATATATTGTACAACATGCGATTTCGCGTTAATGCTGGACATTTCACTAATATATGTTTGATTGTTAATTTTTCATCAAAGTTGTCAGATCTTGGTTCTGTCCATCACATCTTGTCCCTGTTTGTTGAAAAACACAGCTATTAGTTAATTGCATATGACCCAGTCGGAGTCGCGGTAATATTACCTAGTCTCTCCGATTTTTTTATCGGTTTTATTGATTTTTTACTATCGCCTAGCTTGGCCGATGACACTTTCCACTTTT